ATCACTGAGGTCGATTTCTTCTTTCAGACCATCTTTACCGGGTTGACTCTGGTGTGTGGAGGAAAGAAACCCCGCTACTGCTGCGTGAGTCCACATCCTATAGTACAGACTTCATTCAGTCACACATTATGAAGACAAAATACAGCCTTTTTCAGATGTTTGAAAGTTGATTCATTGGCACAGTTTGATCTAAAGGTGATCAAACTAATGTATCTTTCTTTAAACTGATCAGTGCACAGCAGCGATGGAAGGAGTTTTATGATATTTTAGATAAAAGTACCAATACAAAGGTAAAAATACTCCTGGACAGGTGTAATGCATTCAGATTCTGAATCATTTTATTTTTATGTCTTAATTACTTTTTATTGTGAGTGAACGAGTTCTAGCACAGTGACTTCTTCCGCTGCCTGTGCACTGGTTCATGTGTTTCTATGTAGGGATGCGTAAATGTACTGTTATATTATTATTATCATGAGTGTATGAATTAATTATGAAGTGACTTTGTGCTGTGCTTCCAGCTGAGGCTTAACATGAGTTTTCACCTGGCCACAGTGATGTTCTCAGCGGTTGCATTCGGTGCCATGGTGAAGCACGTACCGTACCGAGAGGTGGGTGACTTACATTTACTCCGTTACAGGTACGTAAAGAAAGGAACTTTTATTTTGTGCTGATTCTGGCAGCCTCGGTGGACAAAAGCCTGCTTTCATTGATTTCAAGGGGATCCGGTGAGTTGCTAATAACATGCCCCAATGAATAGTCAGCTTCCCGTTTCCCACAACCTCTCAACTACCATCATCGTTAATCATTGGCCAGATAACAAACTGGCTTCAGCAAGAATATGGCCTCTGTGCCAAAAACAAAATCACAGAGTTCCTCTCTTTTTATTTGAAGCTTGTGTCGTCTCCTCAGGTCCTGGTCGGTGGTATCTTGTCCATCCTGCTCACCGTCTTCCTGGTGGAGACGCTCATCAGCCTGGCAATCCTCTTCACCGGTCTTTGCTCCATTCTTTCTGACTATCCACAGGTACGATGACAATGAGCTCGCTGTTTTCCCGATTACCTTCTTATTCCGCTCTGGTGTCTGTACGAATGGCAACAAGAACAAAAGGGATTTTATTTTTTGTTTCCCGCAGCATCCTGAGGGCCCTGAACGCACCAGCAGCAACACTTCCGAGCCTCTGTGCCCCCCCCGACAAAACCAGGACACACCCGGAGACGACATGAGGAAAGACAACGAATAGACTAATTTTAAACCTACAAGCGTTATATAACGTATATATATATATATACTTATACTATAAATAAAAGTTACTATTCATGTTTTTTGTGTAAGGCTGATCAGCAGTGTTTCACATATTTACTCACACCTGCACCTGTAACCACACCCACCAGTGATGTCACAGTGTACCGACACACCCTCAGCGACACGTCTCTGTCACTGCAGTAAGGTGAGCTTGTTGACCACAGCAGGTCAGCAAAAACAAGATTTTCAACTGTTAAGTTACTTTAAGAAAACAGAAAATATGACAGAATCAAACATATTCAGCATGTGTTATTTATATTCTTCATATATTTTATACATGAAAAGGGTTAAATCGATCAATTGGTCGCAAATTGATAAACTAGAGGCAGTGGTGGAAACCATTTAATGCAACTTTACACTCCTACTACACTGTATTTCAGAGAAAATGTAATTTCCTGTGTTTCCTTAAGTTTACCTTCTTCTTCAACCAAAACATATCTAACTTCTGTCAAACTTCAATTAGCAGCTTTGGCCTGCGTCCAAATGATACTCTTAGGTAAGATTAGTCTGACACATTGTCTTTTGTTTGGTTTCTTCATTTAATTAATCTAATGTAATAAAATGTTTATATTTTACTGATGCATGATTAACACTGTGTTAATAAAGTTTGACAAAAATGAAAGAAGAGAGTCAAGCTTCCTCACTTATATTGTTCCTCTATTTAACAATGTGTCCCAAGAAAATTACAAAATCTCAGTTTCTTTGTATTTTGTCTTCCTGCACAGGAACTAGAAAAAGAGATCACATCTCTCCTGTACTAGCTTCTCTGCATTGGCTCCCTGTAAAATGTAGAATAGAATTTAAAATCCTCCTCCTCACCTATAAAGCTCTTCATGGTCAGGCCCCTTCATATCTTAAAGAGCTCATAGTACCCTATTACCCCACTAGAACACTACGTTCTCTGAATGCTGGGCTACTTGTGGTTCCTATAGTCTCTAAAAGTAGAACAGGAGCCAGAGCCTTCAGTTACCAAGCTCCTCTCCTGTGGAACCAGCTTCCAGTTGTGGTTCGGGAGGCAGACACCCTCACCACATTCAAGAGTAGGCTTAAGACATTCCTCTTTGATAAAGCTTATAGTTAGGGCTGGATCAGGTGAGTCCTGAACCATCCCTTAGTTATGCTGCTCTCTCTCTTTCTCTCTCTCTCTCTCTCTCTCTCTCTCTCGCTCTCGCTGTCTCTGAGTTGCAACCTGCAATTACACCACTAGATGCCACTAAATCCTAAATACTGGACCTTCAATAAAAGAAGTAAGTCCACGTCACTTAATCCTCCAAAACATTTGGAGTCAGTCATTTACATGAATTAAACCCAACTCAAGAACGAATTGTACTTTGTGCAGAATTGTAATTATTGGTGATTTAATTAGTTTGTTCCATTGACTCATTTTCTTTAAGTTGAGACAGAAACGTAAACCACACAGTCATTTTCTAAAGTACGAATCTGAATAAGTGTAAAGATGTGATATTAGTCAAATTAAAAAGAACTATTGTTAACAACTCAATCAGTAAGAATATAAAACTAATTGGGTTCCATTTTGATGATTGATTAATTGTAAATTGTTTTTATTGTAAACCAGCTGTTGTAATTTATTTACACATATACTTTGATTTGTTGACGACAAGAAGAAGAGGCTTTCATACTTCATGCATTAATGGGTGAAATAAATATAAGTGTATAAATAAATGTCTTCCTGTGCCCTTATTTTTCCTGAAGGCTACAGGCTTTTATTTTGAAGTTGTTGGCGGAGGTAGCATTCGGCTACGGAAGTTAGCTGCAGTCTGTGCGGTGTCAGTAGGTTTGTGCTCTTTCTGCTGACTTCCTGTCGGTGTTTAAATGTTTAATGTTTAAATGTTTAAATGTTTAAATGTTTAACTGTTTAACTGTTTAAATGTTTAACTGTTGATAATAAACGGTGCGGAGCTTCAGTAGGAAACCCTCCCGCTGAATGGAGCCTCTCCCGGGAGCTAATGTTAGCTACAGTTAGCCGTTAACGTTGTTGTTGTTGACAGTTTGCTGCTGTTACTATAACAACCGTTAAAACCCGCGCAGACACCGTCACACACACAATGAGGACGTCATTAACAGCGTCACGAGTCGGTGTTCAATTCGGCGCTAATCTGATCAGCCAATCAGCTCCGATCATTAGTATCGATCCGACTCTCATTCCCACTGAAAGAGTGCAGCTACAGTGGAGGCGGAGTTTATCGATTATTGATCAGAATACACTGTTGATCGATTATTGATCAGAATACACTGTTGATCGATTATTGATCAGAATACACTGTTGATCGATTATTGATCAGAATATCCAATCCAACTTTATTTGTTAAGCACTTTAAAAACAACCAAAGTGCTGTACAGGAGACCATAAATGTAAACAGTGATGATGATGATGAAGACCACTGTGAGGAACATAGACAGTGATGATGATGATGATGATGATGATGAAGACCACTGTGAGGAATATAGACAGTGATGATGATGATGATGATGATGATGATGATAAGACCACTGTGAGGAACATAAACAGTGATGATGATGATGATGATGATGATGATGAAAGACCACTGTAGGAATATAGACAGTGATGATGATGATGAGAAGACCACTGTAGGAACATAAACAGTATGATGATGATGATGATAAGACCACTGTGAGGAACATAGACAGTGATGATGATGATGATGATGAAGACCACTGTGAGGAACATAGACAGTATGATGATGATGATGATGAAGACCACTGTGAGGAACATAGACAGTGATGATGATGATGATGATGAAGACCACTGTGAGGAATATAGACAGTGATGATGATGATGATGATGATGATGATGAAGACCACTGTGAGGAACATAAACAGTGATGATGATGATGATGATGATGATGATGATGAAGACCACTGTGAGGAACATAGACAGTGATGATGATGATGATGATGAAGACCACTGTGAGGAACATAGACAGTGATGATGATGATGATGATGAAGACCACTGTGAGGAACATAAACAGTGATGATGATGATGATGATGAAGACCACTGTGAGGAACATAGACAGTGATGATGATGATGATGATGATGAGATATAAGACCACTGTGAGGAATATAGACAGTGATGATGATGATGATGAAACCACTGTGAGGAACATAAACAGTGATGATGATGAAAAGACCACTGTGAGGAACATAGACAGTGATGATGATGATGATGATGATGATGAAGACCACTGTGAGGAACATAGACAGTGATGATGATGATGATGATGATGATGATGAGAAGACCACTGTGAGGAATATAGACAGTGATGATGATGATGATGAAGACCACTGTGAGGAACATAAACAGTGATGATGATGATGATGATGAAGACCACTGTGAGGAACATAAACAGTGATGATGATGATGATGATGATGATGATAAAGACCACTGTGAGGAATATAGACAGTGATGATGATGATGATGAGACCACTGTGAGGAACATAAACAGTGATGATGATGATGATGATGAAGACCACTGTGAGGAACATAGACAGTGATGATGATGATGATGATGATGAAGACCACTGTGAGGAACATAGACAGTGATGATGATGATGATGATGATGATGATGATGAAGACCACTGTGAGGAATATAGACAGTGATGATGATGATGATGAAGACCACGTAGGAACATAAACAGTATGATGATGATGATGATGAAGACCACTGTGAGGAACATAAACAGTGATGATGATGATGATGATGAAGACCACTGTGAGGAACATAGACAGTGATGATGATGATGATGATGAAGACCACTGTGAGGAACATAGACAGTGATGATGATGATGATGATAAGACCACTGTGAGGAACATAGACAGTGATGATGATGATGAAGACCACTGTGAGGAACATAGACAGTGATGATGATGATGATGATGATGAAGACCACTGTGAGGAACCCGTTGTTACACCAGCTGTTGTTGATGAGCAGGGACAGTCCCCCTCCTGTCTTCAGGCCGGTCCCGGTGCTGTCCCTGTCGGCTCCAACCGTCTGGAAGCCGGGAATGGTGACGATGGAGTCCGGTATCTTCTCCTCCTCAGCTCCTCCTCAGCTCCTCCTCAGCTCCTCCAGTATGGAGGCTCTCTCTCCAGTCAGGATGCCAGAGGGCCTCAGGGCGATCATCTCATCATCATCGCGGGTGAAAACAATGCGACTCCCCGTCGCCATGGAGACCAGCGTAAAAATAAAAAGTGCTCAAAAACGCCAAAAAAGTATCTAGGCAACATGAACAAAGTAAGGGAGTAAGGAAAGAGTTCAAAGTAACAAAAACACACTGAAACTACAACAATGAAAGGAGCTGTATCTGTATAGATTATTGATCAGAATACACTGTATCTGTATAGATTATTGATCAGAATACACTGTATCTGTATAGATTATTGATCAGAATACACTGTATCTGTATAGATTATTGATCAAAATACACTGTATCTGTATAGATTATTGATCAGAATACACTGTATCTTTATTGATTATTGATCAGAATACACTGTATCTGTATAGATTATTGATCAGTATACACTGTATCTGTATAGATTATTGATCAGAATACACTGTATCTGTATAGATTATTGATCAGAATACACTGTATCTGTATAGATTATTGATCAGAATACACTGTATCTGTATAGATTATTGATCAGAATACACTGTATCTGTATAGATTATTGATCAGTATACACTGTATCTTTATGGATGATATTGATCAGTATACACTGTATCTTTATGGATGATATTGATCAGAATACACTGTATCTTTATGGATGATATTGATCAGTATTCACTGTATCTTTATGGATGATATTGATCCTGTATTGACAGTCAGACTGTGGACATATGACGGCCTTTAGCTCGTGTTTCTAGAGTTACGTGTTGTTACGAACACGTTAGGAATTGTTAAAATGTGATATTTCTTAAAGGGAGTTTGGTGCAGGGAGCTTTTAGTTGGATTCAAACTGCTGATATGGATCATTGTTAACGTTTAGTCTCCACTACAGAAACACAACCGTTTGTCAAACGTATGTTATTGATTGTATTATTGATGACTCCAGGTGAACCTGTCTGTCTACCTGTCTCCTGGTGAACCTGTCTGTCTACCTGTCTCCAGGTGAACCTGTCTGTCTACCTGTCTCCAGGTGAGGAGGCAGTATGGACAAGGTGAGGAGGATCCTGGTGTCTGTCTGCAGGGAGCGAGCTGCTCCTCAGCGAGCTCTGTTTGTCCAGGTGAGTGCAGAAGGAGGAGAGGAAATGTTTGCATTGTCCCTTTAACGTCTAACAGCCCCGCACTGTAACTGTTGGCAGAGCGTAACGGGGCAATTCAGTGACGGCGGGGCAGATGAGGTGGAGGTGAACTGCTCTCTGGAGAAGAACCAGTTCATTCTTTACAGAGGAGACAAAGAACGAGGGGTTCCTCTGAAGGTAATCTTTACCCCCTGTCTCTAATATTTACCCCCTGTCTCTAATATTTACCCCCTGTCTCTAATATTTACCCCCCTGTCTCTAATATTTACCCCTCTGTCTCTAATATTTACCCCCTGTCTCTAATATTAGCCCCTGTCTCTAATATTTACCCCTGTCTCTAATATTTACCCCTCTGTCTCTAATATTACCCTCTGTCTCTAATATTTACCCTCTGTCTCTAATATATACCCTCTGTCTCTAATATTACCCTCTGTCTCTAATATTTACCCTCTGTCTCTCATATTTACCCCCTGTCTCTAATATTTACCCTCTGTCTCTAATATTACCCTCTGTCTCTAATATTACCCCCTGTCTCTAATATTTACCCCGTCTCTAATATTTACCCCTCTGTCTCTAATATTTACCCCCTCTCTAATATTTACCCCCTGTCTCTAATATTTACCCTCTGTCTCTAATATTTACCCCCTGTCTCTGATATTTACCCTCTGTCTCTAATATTTACCCCCTGTCTCTAATATTTACCCTCTGTCTCTCATATTTACCCCCTGTCTCTAATATTACCCCCTGTCTCTAATATTACCCTCTGTCTCTAATATTACCCCCTGTCTCTAATATTTACCCTCTGTCTCTAATATTACCCTGTCTCTAATATTTACCCCTCTGTCTCTAATATTTACCCCTCTGTCTCTAATATTTACCCTCTGTCTCTAATATTTACCCCTCTGTCTCTAATATTACCCCCTGTCTCTAATATTACCCCCTGTCTCTAATATTTACCCTCTGTCTCTAATATTTACCCCTCTGTCTCTAATATTTACCCTCTGTCTCTAATATTTACCCCCCTGTCTCTAATATTACCCTGTCTCTAATATTTACCCTCTGTCTCTAATATTACCCTCTGTCTCTAATATTTACCCCTCTGTCTCTAATATTACCCTCTGTCTCTAATATTTACCTCTCTGTCTCTCATATTTACCTCTCTGTCTCTCATATTTACCCTCTGTCTCTCATATTTACCCTCTGTCTCTAATATTACCCCCTGTCTCTAATATTTACCCTCTGTCTCTAATATTTACCTCTCTGTCTCTAATATTTACCCTCTGTCTCTAATATTTACCCTCTGTCTCTCATATTTACCCTCTGTCTCTCATATTTACCCTCTGTCTCTAATATTTACCCCCTGTCTCTAATATTTACCCTCTGTCTCTAATATTTACCTCTCTGTCTCTCATATTTACCCTCTGTCTCTAATATTTACCCCCTGTCTCTAATATTTACCCTCTGTCTCTAATATTTACCTCTCTGTCTCTCATATTTACCCCTCTGTCTCTAATATTACCCCCTGTCTCTAATATTACCCCCTGTCTCTAATATTTACCCTCTGTCTCTAATATTTACCCCTCTGTCTCTAATATTTACCCCCTGTCTCTAATATTTACCCCCTGTCTCTAATATATACCCTCTGTCTCTAATATTTACCCTCTGTCTCTAATATTACCCTCTGTCTCTCATATTTACCCTCTGTCTCTAATATTTACCCTCTGTCTCTAATATTACCCTCTGTCTCTAATATTTACCCTCTGTCTCTCATATTTACCCTCTGTCTCTAATATTTACCCTCTGTCTCTAATATTTACCCCTCTGTCTCTTAGAGGCCCGCCTTTTGTCCCATCAAACACCTGTCAGTCACGGAGGCAGCTGCGATCCCATTGGACGTTCAGCAGCGTGGGATCGATGTGGGCGTGGCCATCATCCTGCAGACAGCCAATCAGAGAGTGTTGCTGACGCGTCGGGCGAAGGAGCTTCGGATATTTCCCAACGTCTGGGTTCCTCCAGGTCTGACACAGTTGCATTGTGGGAAATGTAGGATTTGTACTGAAGACCGGCCCTTTAACACGCTGCTCTGTTTCTTATAGGCGGACATGTTGAGCCAGATGAGACGGTAACAACAACAACAACAACAACAACAACAATCATAATAACAATAATAATGATGACTGTTTTCTGAGCTGTGTGTGTCTGTGTCTGTGTGTGTGTGTCTGTGTGTGTGTCTGTGTGTGTCTGTGTGTGTGTGTGTGTGTGTGTGTGTGTGTGTGTCTGTGTGTGTGTGTGTGTGTGTGTGTGTCTGTGTGTGTGTGTGTGTGTTGTGTGTGTGTCTGTGTGTGTGTGTGTGTGTGTGTGTGTGTGTGTGTGTGTGTGTGTCTGTGTGTGTGTGTGTGTCTGTGTGTGTGTGTGTGTGTGTGTGTGTGTCTGTGTGTGTGTGTGTGGTGTGTGTGTGTGTGTGTGTGTGTAGCTGCTGGGTGCAGGCCTCAGGGAGTTAATGGAGGAAACTGGACTGAAACTGGAACCAGAGGAAGTTTCTCCAAAGATACTGGGACTCTGGGAGGTGAGACAGGCTCACAGACAGACAGACAGACCTGTTAGTGATATTTAACTTCCCAGGATGGTGAAGTCATGACCCGCCTACTCTGCCTCTGATTGGCTAACCGTGACATTCTAACCCTGAAGACAACCAGTACCAGCCAATCAGAGGCTGAGGAGGGCGGGTCGAGACTGAAGTAGCAGTGTATTAAAGGTGTACTGACTGTAATCCACCCTCCGTCTGTCCCTCTGTCCGTCTGTCCCTCTGTCCCTCTGTCCCTCTGTCCGTCTGTCCCTCTGTCCGTCTGTCCCTCTGTCCGTCAGTCCGTGTACCCCCCCATGCTGTCCAGAGGACTTCCTCAGAGACATCACATAGTCGTCTACATGCTGCTGCACTCCTCCCGCTCTCACCTGCAGCTACAGGTACGCAAGTCCTCACACAGAATATGTGGAGCTGCTCCAGTCTTCAGCAGTCTCCCTCTCCTGCCTCCCCCCCCCCGCAGTCCTCTCTGAGCCCGTCCCCCGCTGAGGTCAGTGCCTGTCTGTGGGCCGACAGACGGCTGGTCGGAGCCATCGTGTCCGCCGTAGACGGAGAGGACACCGCAGTTGGACTGGACGACCTGCCGAGCAGCATCAGGTACGACCGGCTTCAGTTTCCTGCCTGGTGCTAGTTCAGGGTCTGGTGCTAGTTCAGGGTCTGGTGCTAGTTCAGGGTCTGGTGCTAGTTCAGGGTCTGGTGCTAGTTCAGGATCTGGTGCTAGTTCAGGGTCTGGTGCTAGTTCAGGGTCTGGTGCTAGTTCAGGGTCTGGTGCTAGTTCAGGGTCTGGTGCTAGTTCCGGTCTGGTGCTAGTTCAGGGTCTGGTGCTAGTTCAGGGTCTGGTGCTAGTTCAGGGTCTGGTGCTAGTTCAGGGTCTGGTGCTAGTTCAGGGTCTGGTGCTAGTTCAGGGTCTGGTGCTAGTTCAGGGTCTGGTGCTAGTTCAGGATCTGGTGCTAGTTCAGGGTCTGGTGCTAGTTCAGGATCTGGTGCTAGTTCAGGGTCTGGTGCTAGTTCAGGGTCTGGTGCTAGTTCAGGGTCTGGTGCTAGTTCCGGTCTGGTGCTAGTTCAGGGTCTGGTGCTAGTTCAGGGTCTGGTGCGAGTTCAGGGTCTGGTGCGAGTTCAGGGTCTGGTGCTAGTTCAGGATCTGGTGCTAGTTCAGGGTCTGGTGCTAGTTCAGGGTCTGGTGCTAGTTCAGGGTCTGGTGCTAGTTCAGGATCTGGTGCTCGTTCAGGATCTGGTGCTAGTTCAGGGTCTGGTGCTAGTTCAGGGTCTGGTGCTAGTTCCGGTCTGGTGCTAGTTCAGGGTCTGGTGCTAGTTCCGGTCTGGTGCTAGTTCAGGATCTGGTGCTAGTTCAGGATCTGGTGCTAGTTCAGGGTCTGGTGCTAGTTCAGGGTCTGGTGCGAGTTCAGGGTCTGGTGTGAGTTCAGGGTCTGGTGCTAGTTCAGGGTCTGGTGTGAGTTCAGGGTCTGGTGTGAGTTCAGGATCTGGTGCTAGTTCCGGTCTGGTGCTAGTTCAGGGTCTGGTGCTAGTTCCGGTCTGGTGCTAGTTCCGGTCTGGTGCTAGTTCAGGGTCTGGTTCTAGTTCCGGTCTGGTGCTAGTTCAGGATCTGGTGCTAGTTCAGGGTCTAGTGCTAGTTCAGGATCTGGTGCTAGTTCAGGATCTGGTGCTAGTTCAGGGTCTGGTGCTAGTTCCGGTCTGGTGCTAGTTCAGGGTCTGGTGCTAGTTCAGGGTCTGGTGCTAGTTCAGGGTCTGGTGCTAGTTCAGGGTCTGGTGTGAGTTCAGGGTCTGGTGTGAGTTCAGGGTCTGGTGTGAGTTCAGGATCTGGTGCTAGTTCAGGGTCTAGTGCTAGTTCAGGATCTGGTGCTAGTTCAGGGTCTGGTGCTAGTTCCGGTCTGGTTCTAGTTCCGGTCTGGTTCTAGTTCCGGTCTGGTGCTAGTAAAGGGTCTGGTGCTAGTTCAGGGTCTGGTGTGAGTTCAGGGTCTGGTGCTAGTTCAGGGTCTGGTGCTAGTTCAGGGTCTGGTGTGAGTTCAGGGTCTGGTGCGAGTTCAGGGTCTGGTGTGAGTTCAGGGTCTGGTGTGAGTTCCGGTCTGGTGCTCGCGGCGGTTCAAAGTCGGGTCAACTGGTGAGCCCCTGTAGGGCCGCGTCATTAAGGCGCTGTATATGTCTTCAACTCGCTGACATTACAAAAGCAAATATAGCTTCTGATTTCTAACTAAGTGAAACATTGATGTCACTGCGAACTGCCCCGAGGCGCTGCAGCCCCTCCAGAAAGAGGCTCTTGGTTCTAGACCAGCAAAGTGAGAGAGCCGAGAGCCACCAGCTCCCAGTCGGGTAAATGAGCCAGCGCTTTAAACGAAAACTGCAGCCTGATAGAGAAAATACATTTCTTAAGAATAAAGAATTATTTTTAAAACCACCTTAAACACGCTGAATAAAGCAGTTCCACCTTAAACACACTGAATAAAGCAGTTCCACCTTAAACACGCTGAATAAAGCAGTTCCACCTTAAACACGCTGAATAAAGCAGTTCCACCTTAAACACGTTGAATAAAGCAGTTCCACCTTAAACACGCTGAATAAAGCAGTTCCACCTTAAACACGCTGAATAAAGCAGTTCCACCTTAAACACGCTGAATAAAGCAGTTCCACCTTAAACACGTTGAATAAAGCAGTTCCACCTTAAACACACTGAATAAAGCAGTTCCACCTTAAACACGCTGAATAAAGCAGTTCCACCTTAAACACGCTGAATAAAGCAGTTCCACCTTAAACACATTGAATAAAGCAGTTCCACCTTAAACACGCTGAATAAAGCAGTTCCACCTTAAACACATTGAATAAAGCAGTTCCACCTTAAACACACTGAATAAAGCAGTTCCACCTTAAACACGCTGAATAAAGCAGTTCCACCTTAAACACGCTGAATAAAGCAGTTCCACCTTAAACACGCACAAAGGCACAAAGGGGATATGACGCCATTGATTATTGATTATTGATTATTGATTACCGGTGAAACGCAGCGTTAGTTTATTGATGACAGAGGTCTTTGTGTTAAAGCTGCTTTGTTGAATTAAAGTTGACCTTTTTATTGACATGAAACAAAATCCAAAGCATTTATAAAATTATAATCTATAAAGTTCTAACTGCCTCCTGACCGCTGTGACCTTTGACCTCCTGCTGTGTTTGCAGTGTGTCGCAGGTCTCCACAGGAGGAGCTCTGAGCGACCGCACTCTGCCTCTGACGGTGTTCGTCAGCCGGGCTCCGCCCACAGGCCCGGATGTGGAGCGGGTCAGCACCGGCACCAAGTTCGCCCTGGAGCTGTGGCTGAAGAGCCTGGAGACCCCTGACCCCTGACCCCTGACACTCTGCAGGCTTCAGGAAGGACAGCTCTGGATCAGAGACATTTCTTATTTTAATTATTTCTTTTTCAATAAATCTGAAACAGAAAGTTTGACACCAGCTGACCAGAACTGTTCATTTACTCTCCTATTACACATACTGATCCTAGTATTATTGTTCTATTATTATTTATCAATGTCATTTTATAAAATGTATTTAAATATATTATCTAATCAGTATATTTATAATATTTATAATCTTTTTTTAAATACAGATTTTAGCATTTTAAATATTTTAAAATGTAGTTATTTTTATCTAATTATATTTCAATATATTTTATAAAGATGTATATAAATATATTGATTAAATCATATATTTATAAGATATATTGATTATTTAAAGACTTCAATCAGTATTTATAAAAAACAGTATTAAATATATTTCAATATATAAAAAAACAAATTCCAGTATTTATTAAAAAAATTATAAAAGTATATTGTTTCTATTCAAATTTTTAGAATAAACATTGATTTCAGCATTTATTAAAAGAAATGTAAAAGTCAAAATATATTGTTATATTATTCTATTTAAATATATAATATATTTTTATACATTTTACTTTTTTACTAATACTAATTACTTTTTCATTTATTAAAAAACAAACATATTATTGTTCTATTATTGCTGTTTTGAAATATATTTTTAGAAATATTTATAGTATTTTACACTCTGAAAATCCTAATAAAAAGAGTGTTAAAAAAAAGAAATATTTATAAAATAACTTGTAGTGAGTATATATCAATATATTTAATGACTTTTATTTCCGAAGCAGCATTTATGACTAGAAAATACAGTTACAGAAATATTATAATTTAAATGTCAGTTTGCACATGATCTGTAAAAATCCTTATTATAATAATAATAACTTTATTATTATGGTCCAGACTTATTATGCCAAATCCCTTTTAACTCAAATAAAAATGTGTAAAAGATTCTGTATCTTCAGGTATTATTTGTATTATTAATCACTGTTGGCTCAGTGGGCTGTAACACCGGAGCCTTCAGGCCAGCAGGTGGCAGCACAGAGTAGACATCAGATCCTCTCCAGGCTCTGGCTTTAAATCAGATCATGGAGATAATAACACACATGTTATTATTAACTCCTAAGTCTATGTGCACATATTTTAAATCTATAAATACACCTCATATAAATATAGAGATGTTCACTCTTTAGAACAAATAACAACTACTGAAGACAAAAGCAGCCGACACTTGTTAGTTTCTTTAAACAAGATTATTTTTCTAAATCAAGGAAAACTTTGATAGATAAAGTTTCTGTTGATGTTGGGAAACATACAGACACATTACAGATTCATTAATAATGATGTTTTCCCACCTTCAACCAACAGAATAACAACCAGCAGTGACGTCAGTTCGGATCACAAATGAAGCTGCTGACTCATGTCCGGTAAATGGACCTGTACTTGTATAGCACCTTTCTAGTCTTCCGACCACTCAAAGCGCTTTTACACTACGTGCCACATTCACCCTTTCACACACATTCACTCAGTGATGGCAAAGTCCACTGAACAGAAACTAACATTCATACACATTCACACACTGATGCACGGCATTGGGAGCAATTTGGAGTTCAGTATCTTGCTCAAGGATACTTCGACATGTGGCACCAGGACCCCGGGGATCGAACCCACAACCTTCCGATTAAGGAATGACCCGCTCTGCCTCTGAGCCACAGCCGCCCACCGGTCCGTGCATCCCTCTAACATGGTGGACTCCGGTCAGTCCAGTCTGAACTGAGCTGAACTCACAGACTCAAGTGTCTTTAAATGTACAATCTGTAACATTTCCTCATGAAACTCTAGAGCTGGCTTCTATAGGGAGCTGATTCAATCAATAATCAATAAACAGTGTATAAACTCTAGAGCTGGGTTCTATATGGAGCTGATTCAATCAATAATCAATAAACAGTGTATAAACTCTAGAGCTGGCTTCTATAGGGAGCTGATTCAATCAATAATCAATAAACAGTGTATAAACTCTAGAGCTGGGTTCTATAGGGAGCTGATTCAATCAATAATCAATAAACAGTGTATAAACTCTAGAGCTGGGTTCTATATGGAGCTGATTCAATCAATAATCAATAAACAGTGTATAAACTCTAGAGCTGGGTTCTATATGGAGCTGATTCAATCAATAATCAATAAACAGTGTATAAACTCTAGAGCTGGGTTCTATAGGGAGCTGATTCAATCAATAATCAATAATCAGAAGCTGTCATACATTGACTGTTGATCCAGTCTGAAGCCACATTGTTACCATCCACTGTTTAGATCTTGGTGCTTTTTAACTCTAGATTTGAACCGGATGAAGGATTTTAGTCATCGGACGTCTGGATCTTAAGTTATCAGAGAAACAAGCTGAGCTAACGTTAGCAGCTAACGTTAGCAGCTACTGTTAGCAGCCCCTCTGGTTTCACAGACTCCCGCTCAGAGCGGAGGCGGGGGGAGGTGGGCCGCCCTCCTCTGATTAGAGGACCTAAAGTCGTCCCAACTGTCCGCTCTGTGTCAGCCGTGGACTCACAGGGTTCAGGCTGATTTCAATCAGTAGAGAGCGAGTTGAGGCTTTTTCAACACATTCTAACTTATTAACGTAATATTGTGAATATTAACAGCAGCATCTTATGATTCAGTTTACAGCTCACAGTTTATGGAAGAGGACCTCTTTAATGACTCATCATGCACATAAGACTCAATAGTTAGAAGTTTTAGTGGAAGAGAAAACGAAACAGTCAAAAAGTGATGTGAGGATATTTTATTCACCAACAATAACTGAACATAAAATAACGTTTGCGAGGAGGATGTGGGACGTTTGTGTTTCTGTGTGACTCACTGAGCCCAGCCCAGTCTCTTTATGTTGATATCAGCGCCATAAATCTCATATCCCACATTCAGAAATTACTCCACCGCCCCGCCTCGCACCACGCCTCGTCTTCGCTTTCCCTCTTTGTGAGGCTCTTTGTGGCCGAGCTGAAAAATAACCTGGACTTGAAAAAGGAGGATTCAATGAGGATCCACTTTCAGCCTGGAATTTTCCTGCTTCACAACAATACAGAGCAAACTGGGACAGTGGCGCCGCTGCCAGACTGAAATAATGTGATTGTATATGAAATATGATTATTAACACAGCAACAGTGGCAATAAAATCACTGTTTAACATAAAAAACATATAATTATAGTCATCAAATTTCAAGTTAGGGTTGTTTTTTTAATGGAAATATAACAATTAGTCAAAAAAATCTTTTTTTACACATTAATAATATCACAACAAATATAAACAGAAAATATAATTTTTGCAATGTAATAAGTGTTAATATTTATGGAAGCCATTTTCTGCCAATGTGAGGAAAAAAAGATTCTGTAAATCAAATTATTAAGATACAAAATCAATATTTTGAGAAAGTTTCTCATTACAGTAATTTACAGAATCATTTTTTCTGTCACATTGGTGGGAAATGACTTCAATACTAATGTCTTATAATAACATATAAAAAGTGTTTGAGATGTACAAAACATGATGTTTCATGAATGTCATCAATTATTAAAAACCTGTGTCAATTATAATCTCACACTTCAAAATATAAAACACAGAACTGCAGTTTTATATCAAACGTAGTGTCAAGTCAGAGTGAACGTTTATATCTAATAATTCTAAAATAAAATATCAGGTAATGTTTAACAGCTGTGACAATAATATGTCAAATATTCATGTTGATAAAAGGAAGGACTCTTATAGACACATTTATAGGATCAATACATATCAATATGGAACGTTTTTAAGATAATACATAATAACTGGTATAATTAATGTAACTGTAAATGAACAGAACAGTAACAGTGACAATATCACAACAACTTTAAAAGAAACAAAATATTAAAATAAAGCTAAACTGATATAATGTCTATATAAAGCATCTTTTGGTATTCGACATTTGTAAAGACACGAGCAGTCATTCACTTTCCTTCGATATGCTATGTGCTAGGCTAATCTATGTTGAAAAGATAAACAAAGAAATCCCATCAATCATTAGCTAGTTACATCTGATACCTAATGCTAGCTGGTACATTAATGATTGATGTAGCTTAGTTAGCTAATGTTTCTCTAACATTAACTAATTTAAGATGATATATGTGTCTCTTTTATCTTTTAACCATCTTCAAAATGTGGTTGTCTTTGCAACATAGCATAGCATAGCATATCTTAGTACAGGAAAGGAGGAAGCTGACCGGTTATTGGAGGATAGAGCAACAAGGGGGCGGGGCTTAGGAAGAGAGTATATATATATATATATATATATATAGTAACATTGGTGAAATAACAGAGCTGGGAGTTTAAAAGAAAACATATATTTAAAAAATAGTAATACTTTTATATGAAACAGTGTGATATTAATTAAAGGCTCATTTTGGTATAATTCTAAAGTCTAAAATGGTGAAAGTAACAATGTCTTCTAAAAATAATAATAGCAATCAATGTATTGTAATATGAAGTTTACCAGTTACAATGGACAAAATATCATATAATGATTTATAAAATAGTATCTTTCATTGTATGAGTTATATAATTTGCATTATATAAAAATAAAACTTGTATTATTTGTCATTGTTGTCGTTCTTGCCTTATAGACAATAAATAAAAACTATATTAAAAATGATTTTCAGTCAGATCAGGATTATAATTTAAAAAACAACAAAACACAAATAAACAAAAGAAGTGATGTTGTCCTTTATTGGTTGGGTTGATGAGTCATGAGGCGTCGTTATTGGTTGACCTTGTACATCCCTGTCCGGCTCTTCATCGGCTTATCCAGCTCTTCCTGAAAGAAAGGAATTATGGGAAGAGCCATTACGTGCTTTGAAGAAACTGTTTTCTTGTTTGCCTTCGGAATTTGTTTGTTTATATTTCTCTCATTTGGTGAAGCTAGGCTAGCAGTTTACCCTTGCTTCCAGTCTTTGTGCTAAGCTAGACACAGGCCCTATATTTCATAAGGAGAGGAAACTGGACATAACGTTTCTAGGATGTTGTAACAAAATTACAACCCGCAGAGCTCACATTATGGTATGACCCGCAGAGCTCACATTATGGTATGACCCGCAGAGCTCACATTATGGTACGACCCGCAGAGCTCACATTATGGTACGACCCAGAGAGTTAACATTATGGTACGACCCGCAGAGCTCACATTATGGTACGACCCGCAGAGCTCACATTATGGTATGACCCGCAGAGCTCACATTATGGTACGACCCGCAGAGCTCACATTATGGTACGACCCAGAGAGTTAACATTATGGTACGACCCGCAGAGCTCACATTATGGTACGACCCGCAGAGCTCACATTATGGTACGACCCGCAGAGCTCACATTATGGTACGACCCAGAGAGCTAACATTGAGCTTCAGGTTAATTCCTGACATAGTAAATATATGTGTATTCAGTCTCTTACGTAGCTGTAATGTTTCTTAGGTTACGAAAATGTTAAATGTAATGTATGTAATATAATGCTACCTTCTGGTCTCTTACACGTGTTCCTTTATTACTAATAGTAACTCAGATACAGTAAAGTAAGTAAAGTTATTTACTATTAATTAAGAGATCACTAACAGCAAAGTGTCATCAGCGTAAAAACCCAACAGAAGGAACTAAAAGAACAAAGATAGAAAATGATAAAGATTGTATTAATATTATAATATGAATGCTGCTGTTTGTAATGTTAGTAATGATTTACCAGTGTATCAATGATTTTGTACAGTGTGCTCTAGTAACAAAAGCTAACGTACTATTTTTTCCACTAAAGTCAATAAACTCTGACAGCTCTTGTTTCCCTGTTGCCATGGAGACAATCACACCATAGGTAGGTGTTACCTTTTTGTCTCCATGTTCCTGAGTAAATGTTGACTGTGACTCATTAAAATACAAACAATAACTATTACAGCAACATCCAGGACACACCCAGAGTTTGTACTCAACGACGCCGATCGTGGTCCTGGTCTTCTGCAGACTGCGGAGGTCTAATGTGGACCTGCAGTTTGTTCTACTGGAGTAGACGAGAACAATGTGGCTGAATTAATGGATGAACTGTGTTCTGCTGCAGGAAGTGACTCTTTCCCAGGAGTCTCATTACAGCAACAAAGACACAACCTGTGTGTGGAGGGGGACTGACTCCTTACCAGGACATCAGCATCCTTGTGAGGACATCAGCATTATTGTGAGGACATCAGCATCCTTGTGAGGACATCAGCATCCTTGTGAGGACATTAGTATCCTTGTGAGGACATCAGCATCCTTGTGAGGACATTAGTATCCTTGTGAGGACATTAGTATCTTTGTGAGGACATTTTAAGGCCAGGACACACCAACCCGACGGCCGACCATCGACAGAAAAGCAGTCGGACTGATCAATCGTCTCCCGTCTCCCCGAGTAGGTCAAAAAAGTGCCTCCGAACACACCAAACCGACGCAAATTGGAACGTACGTTCTGCGCGTGTGCGAGGCGTAATACGTCCCCTTAACAGCAGGCGGCGCTAATCTGTGTTGTCACCCAAAAATTAAAATTAAAACCAGAAATGACGGATCACTGTAGGCCTAGTAGACACAGAGCACGCTGTCGTCAGTCACTGCTTTCATCAGAGAGTGTTGATAGTAGTGAAGAAGGATTGTTATTACTCGCTGAACGGAAACTACGATGGCTAATAATAACAAGATAGTGGCGTTGGATGTATATGTCCTAATGAGAATTAACTCAAATATTATATTGGACTCCTGTGGTGGCGTTATAATTGTGAGGGCATTAGCATTGTGACGTGTCCCCATAGATGTGTGTTTAGAGACTTACGTATGGTTTCCCGTTGGGCCCCTCGAAGCGGCTGTGTGTGGTGTACAGAGGGATGTCGTCTCTGTTGGTCAGATGGTCGTATGGACTGAAGCCTTTGTAGCGCCCCCTATAGCAGCACAACCACACCAGCTGGGGAAAAAAACAACTGTTAGCCGTATTACAAAACGGTTGCATATTCAAAGGATACAAGTAGCATGGGGAATGTAGCCCCTTTTTTACATCTAACACAATACAGAGAAAGTACAGAGGTGGTTTCTTTTTGCCAGGTTTGTGTGTGAGCAACAAGTCTATCTGGAAACTCCATAAATCTCCTTGGTGCTGCTGTCGTTTTTCAGAATTTCTCCACAAAATAGGATCCAGTTTCACCAAATCTCTGATAAAGTTGTGTTTGTATAGTAATCAGTGAGCTCCGCTAGCTAGCCATTCTGTTAGCTAGCTAGCTAATGAATGAATCTTCGCTCTGTGTGGCTAAAAGTTGAAGATTGATTGACGGGTGAATGTCTGATATTATTGGTTGAAATCAGTTCATGCTGACGTAAACATGCGTCACATTTTGTTTTATATAAAAATACACAGAAATAGATCTTTTGTAAATATTTTGTCATACGTAGTTCATTAAATACAATATACAATATGATGGACTGTGATCTTAAAGGGTTGAACAACGTTGCTATCAGGTGAACATCTCACTCTCAGTTGTAAGACTCACCAGTCCGATCAGCAGCAGGATCAGGACTAGCAGAACCAGAGCTGCCAGGACCAGCAGGGCTATTCCCCATCCAGGAACGCCGCCGCCGCCGCCGCCAACCAGGGCCGGGGCCAAGCTCATCGTCGTGCTCTCTGACGTGATTGGTTTATCTGGGGAAACTGACACAGACGAGCTGCTGGCTGTTGCAATCCTTGTCGTCATGGTTTTCCTGGACACAGTCGTCGTTGCGTTGGACATAGGGTTGACCTGAGTGTGGTTGCCAGGGGAAACCACTGCAGTGTGTGTGGTGTCTGTCGTCACGGGTACAGAAGCGTTTGCAGTGAGGTGTTCGGTGCTGTCTGTGGTTGTTGCATGTGGGGCTGCTGTGGTGTTACTGGTGGGACTGGGAGTTGTGGCATTGACGTGGGGTTCAGTTGAACTGTTTTCTCTAGTGGTGAAGCTGATGGTGGGACTGGTTTCATTGGTTGTGTTGGATCCAGGTGTTGTCACGTGGTCACTGGTGTGACCGGTTTCAGTGGTTGTGTTGGGTCCAGGTGTTGTCACGTGGTCACTGGTGTGACCGGTTTCAGTGGTTGTGTTGGGTCCAGGTGTTGTCACGTGGTCACTGGTGTGACCGGTTTCAGTGGTTGTGTTGGGTCCAGGTGTTGTCACGTGGTCATTGGTGTGACCGGTTTCAGTGGTTGTGTTGGGTCCAGGTGTTGTCACGTGGTCACTGGTGTGACCGGTTTCAGTGGTTGTGTTGGGTCCAGGTGTTGTCACGTGGTCATTGGTGTGACTGGTTTCAGTGGTTGTGTTGGGTCCAGGTGTTGTCACGTGGTCACTGGTGTGACCGGTTTCAGTGGTTGTGTTGGGTCCAGGTGTTGTCACGTGGTCACTGGTGTGACCGGTTTCAGTGGTTGTGTTGGGTCCAGGTGTTGTCACGTGGTCATTGGTGTGACCGGTTTCAGTGGTTGTGTTGGGTCCAGGTGTTGTCACGTGGTCACTGGTGTGACCGGTTTCAGTGGTTGTGTTGGGTCCAGGTGTTGTCACGTGGTCATTGGTGTGACCGGTTTCAGTGGTTGTGTTGGGTCCAGGTGTTGTCACGTGAGTCGTATTGGAAGACACTAAAGAATGAGCAGGGGAAAAAAAGAGTTGGTGATTTGGTGTTTTCAGTATTTTAATACTCCCTTTGGGTTTGATGCTAACCAGCAAATGTTCGAATGCTAAGATGCTGAACTTTGCAACATCAGAGATAAGGACGTCCTCAGGAAGTGTGATTCGCACTGAAGGATATAATATGTGTTCACTCACGTCTCTTACAGACCAGATCCTGTAGTGAATCTGGATTAAGTCACAAAAATATACTGTGACACTGTTAAAAGTCCATTTAAAGGAGAACACATTACATATGTCATAAAATAACTGCTGAAACATTATAAAAGACTGTGAACTATGCAGAACCCCCATCGATGCTTCTTATATGGTTCTTACAGCCGTTATTAGCAACAATAAATGATTCTGCGGTCGTGTAGATTTTAAATCAGAAATTAGGGAAAATCTACTCAATATAACTGTGTCCTTGGTTTTGTGGCAATTAGTTAGGTAAAAATCAATTAAAATGTTTGCATTGTGTTTCTTTAATTACAAATAGAGAGGATATTGAGTTAATTTAACATAATGTAATTAATTATCTAACTACACAAAAGATAAGGAAAGCAGCTTGGTCACTTTATTCAATTCAATTCAATTCAATTCAATTTAAATTTTCAAATTTAATTTATTGATGGCCCAACTTTGTTTGGCTAGTTATGCTAGTCTGTAATATATAAATATAGTCTCTAAAAGTAGAACAGGAGCCAGAGCCTTCAGTTACCAAGCTCCTCTCCTGTGGAACCAGCTTCCAGTTGTGGTTCGGGAGGCAGACACCCTCACCACATTCAAGAGTAGGCTTAAGACATTCCTCTTTGATAAAGCTTATAGTTAGGGCTGGATCAGGTGAGTCCTGAACCATCCCTTAGTTATGCTGCTATAGGCCTAGACTATCGGGGGATTTCCCATGGTGCACTGAGCTCCTCTCTTCCTCTCTCTTTCTGCACTCATTCATGTCCCATTAATGCATGTTACTAACTTCACTTCTTCCCCGGAGTTCTTGTGCTTTCTCGTCTCGCAGGTTCTTATCGATCCTGGTGGAGCCTCCTGCCATGGTCCTGCTTGACTGCCATTGCTAATATCACTGATATTATTGTTACTATTATTATTAATATTATTATTACTACAGTTACTATTATTACTATTGTCACTGCTCATTGTCCCCCATCGTTGTCGTCGTCATCATCTTCTTATATATAAATAAAATTGATTATACACTAATGAACACATAACTTTGAATATTACATTACAGTAATTAAGTAAAACTCAAAACAGATTTGTGCATATTTTCACGTAAGTTTAGCTGAAACAGTTAATCAATTGATTATTGAGTTGATTGACAGGGTTTCACCTTCTCAATCAGAAAAATGTTCAGCTCTCCTTTGTCTGTCCGTCTGTAAACTGAGGTCAAATGTTCTTTCTCTAATCTCTAAGATCAGGTTTATTTAAAGATAAATTTTCAGTCAACTTTGAGTATAATAAGTAGAGAAAGCAGCAGGCAGGGCGAGGCAAGGTGAGGCGAGGGGGGAGTATGTTCCTTACCTGAGGCGGTGACAGTGAGAGCGATCCAGAGTGCGAGCAGCGTCTCCATCTTTTGCAGGAAATCCGACAGTTTGTGACAAAGATCTCAGTGTGAGCAGCTGTTGGAGTCCGTTTTCATCCAGAGAAAGACTCCTTTATACACCTGCCTCACCTGCACACAGGTGGGGGAGGGAGGGAGGGAGGGGCTGGCACACTCCCATCATGCCCTGGGAGCAGGGCTCCACTCTGTGGTCAGTTTGTGTGGTTGAAATTGTTTCTGACATTATTTACATTTTCATACACAGAATGTAAATGAGAGCCGGTGATCTTCTGGTTAGTTTTTAGTTTTAATTTTACATAAAATCTTGTTAAAGATATTTACACTGTAAAACCAATGCAATTATCTATAAATACAGGTGAACTCTGCTATAATACAAATAATCAGCCTTATATTTACAGCAGAGTGCAGTTATTATTGGATTGTTATTATTTTAATGTTAAAAGTTATAGAACTGTAATAAAAGTTATAATTATCTGTGAAATTACAGCAATTATTGCTGTTTTCACTGATAAAAACTGTATTTGGACAGTTGGCAACATTTATTCAACGTTGCTGTTGTGAAAACTTCCATAATTATACAAGATATCTGTCAATTAACAAACAAATCCATTTAAAGTTACCCAACAAATACTTTTTTTAATGTCACTCATTTTCTATAGTTGATGTATAGTTTTAGAAATACTAAATACTTAACTTGAATTTAACAGTTTAATCTAATAAACTGTAAATATCTGGAAAAAAATGATTATTTACAGTCACAGATTTGTCATGTTATTTTACATTAGACCTGTAAATTCATAGGATGTGTTTGTAATTGTATATTATTTTATATATATATTATTATAATATTTTCATGTATTTAAAAAAATACTGAAAATAACTTTAAAAACAGGGTAAATTTACCAATTGTTTTTACAGCATTCCTCACTGTTTCTGGATCAAGTTTTTGTACTGATCTTGTAGGTTTTTTTCTGTTTTTTGAGATCAGATCATTCTGATCCAGATTGCATGAAGTCAGTCTGTATATGAACTCATTGATCTTTGACTTCAACAAGTCTTGTTGGAAAAATATTTTTTTTATTATTGTGGTTGTGGAAATATGTAAAAAAAACCCTTCATTTAGTTTCATATTTTTCCTGCAGACATTTTATGGGTTAAATTATGTGAGTGTTGAATGTTTAAGTGCAGTGTATCGCGTTGTGGACAGGTAGACGCACCGGGAAAGTGTGTGCTGTTAGACCACATGTTGTACTTTGTATAACCAATAACAAATGAATTGAGAAATAAATAAATATTTAACTTCTGGACTTTGCAATGCTCTCGAGTTATTGGAATTATTTGGATCACATGAGTCAGAAACAATCCTCTGCAGCCGCACTGATATCTAATACTGTAAGTGAGAAAGTACTTCACTACAAGTTATTCTACAAGTCCTGCTTTCAAAACCTCACCTTAGTAAAAGTATGTATTATCAGTTAAATGTACTTAAAGGTCTAATGTTTTATATTAATGTGATTATACACAAATTAAAACAGACCATGAATATGATATTCTATTTTTGACAATAGATCCTCCTTGATGTTTGACACTAGAACATTAAATAAAACTAAACTTAAAGCAGGTGTGAAAAAAAAAAAAACTAACTGAAACAATATTGTGTACTTACAACAAGAACTACAATAAAATACAAATATACAGGAGAGGTTACATATTATAGCTTAAAGATAGAAGTCATTATTTGATTATATAATCGTAATAACATATGTTGCTGCATTTACATGAAATTATTCACTGTATCACTGAGAGTAAGAAGAGCTTGTTTAAGGATGCAGGTTGTGACTGACTGTAAGGATATCACATGACCGAATGATGAATGAGTTTTTATCTGCTGGTAGCTGAACAGAGACAGATGGCAGAGCGAGTTTAAAATGCTTTTTAATGGTGATTAAGACAATGACTCTTTTATTCTTTGGAATTAAACTGAATCTGGACTAAACAAACTGTGATGTCATGAGGAAGGGGTGATGATGTCATTAGTTCAGCTGTAGGCATCTTTCTCAGTCTGGGATTGGCTGGAGGGTGCAGCCACTGGGAGCTCAGGGGTCAACGCAGGCCGAACAGGCTCCACCCCCGATTCACCTGGAGAAAGAAAAAACGGAATAAACTCTCTTTTTTTTTTTAAACTACAACAATAAATGCACAGAACGGCCTCTGGTGGCGCTGTTATACACAGTGTAGTGACATTCACAGATAGAAGCTTTACAGGGAAGAAGAACAAACTGAGACGTTATATTTAATGTGAGGCTGCTGCCTATGTTAATCACACATATATAATGTGAAGAAGCAGCATTGATGATAAATGTCCGTCAAGCTTTTAGCTGATTCTGTCTGATTTTAATTTAGTTGGTGGGTTCAGATTCAGTCCTGTCAGACTGTGTTGAGGGCTGAATGCGTCATGTTACTATGACAACTGTGAGTTGTCATGTGGTTAGAGTGCAGACGAGTAAACAGACTACAGGTGGACTGGACTCTACTGGGTTCCTCTCACCACTCAGACTGGTCAGTCTGGTTCCCAGTTGGCTCCAGAAGGAGCAGGAGCTCTGACTCAGACCCTGATGATGTTGGAGGGTGGGGCTTAGCTGCAGGTAGGTGGGCGGAGCTTCAGAGGACAGGACCTGTTGCCAGCGGGGCAGAATTGACGCTGCCCACACACGTGATGGGTTCGGGTTCCTGAGGAAAAAACAAGACAAATGAACTTCCTCACGTAACGCTATTCTGACAGAGCAGGTAATAAATGTAGGCGTTCGTTAATTAGCGTTTATCTAACAAGCGTTTGTCTGACCCAGTGCGGACGAAGTTTGACACGTAGGTCATCATGGCCAGAGAGAGGCGTTGATCAGAGGAAGTGAAACGCTGAGAGCTAATTGGATGATGAGGAGTCCCAAACACAAACTGAACGTCAAGAGGAACGTTGGCCTCAGCCCTGCGTACAGGAAGCAATAATCAATATCTGTGATTAGTTTTGACAGTTCAGATGTAAAGAACAGAGTCAACACATTCAGAGATTAGACTACAACAAAAGTACACAGCAGAAATATCAGATTATAATTAATGATGCTTTAAAGTAGCTGGTAAAGCTGGAGCTCATTGTAATAAGTTCATATACTGCTGGGTAGTTCAGGATATAATAATGTTATCATCTGCAAAGAAACTGTATTACATTAACTTACATTAAATGCAGCAGAAACACTAAAGGAACCAGTATAAGTGAACCAGTACCTATTATGAGCGCTGGTGGCAGGTTGGTGGTATAAGAAGACGTTAGCTTTGCTGTTAGCCCAGTGGCTAGCCATCTGCAGGCTGGGACAGATGATGAACAGATCTCTGCAGCACACAGACAGTTTAACAGTGAGAGCTGACACACACTCTTTGCTCTAAGCTCTTTTGTTCAGACGTTTGTACAAAAACTTGAGTATCTTGTGTAAGAGAGAGTCAAACAATAAGCAGCAAGAATGCACAACAGGATTTGGTGCTAACAAAGCCGGCTGAACTGATCGCGGTGAGCAGACCTTGTGGCGTTGTTGAGTGCTCTGGAGAACAGGTTGTATCCTGCAGCTGAGGGACTGTGATCCAGAGAGTAGAACCAGGCCGCCGCTTCCTTCAGCAGGTCACTTCCTGTCACTCCGCCCAACGAGCGACTCAGAGCCTCGTAAAACGCCGTCTTACCATCAGCTCGACCCTGCAGAGCCTCAAAGTCCTGAGACAAAAAACAACATGACTTCATAACCTTCTTCTTTTGTCTTTTGTGTGATTATTTTCATTATTACTCATTTGCTGAGCTACGTTTTACAGATCTTTTAAAAATAGCAACCAGTTTTTTCTCCACTGGACTGAAAACACTTTATAGACCAAGTTTAAGCAGAAAATGTCCCCATAAAGCAATGTTTCTACATCAAGTTGACTCTATTTTCACACTTTGTGTAATAAAAACTAAAATGAGATGATCTGAGCTCATTGGAAGCTTTGGAAGACTGCTGTGTGACCTCTGACCTTTATCCTGCGAGCTCGGCCGATCAGACCATCATGTTCAGACGTTCCCAGCAGCAGGTCCACTCTGTGGAAGGACGACTGAGAGACGGACTGACGGACTGGAGACCAGGACTGAAATGGACCACTGACCGCCAACAGCTGCCACACACACACACACACACACACACACACACACACAGGTCAGACACACAGAAACTGGACTTTATTCTTTCGGACCGTCACACTAAACTGCTGCTTTGGAAACTCTACCTTGGTCTGAGCGGCGTTGAGCAAGCGAACAGGCGTTGCTCTGAGGCAGGCGGCCATCTTGTCATGGTCGGAGGTCACACAGCCGAGCTCTTTGGCCAGATCCAGTGCCTGACGTCCGGAGGTGGAGGGAGTCTGAAGCAGTGATGGAGAGAACACGGACCCTCCCTGCAGAACAATGAGAACATACGTCATCAGAACCAACTGACCAGCGTCCACAGGAGGTCACCTGAAGACGCTTTATGTTGACTGTAGAGCTTAGAACTGTTAGAGCTCTCGTTGTGCTGTTGGTCTGCTGGGAAATTAATCCACAGTTACAAAGATTTTACACGTTTGATCTTATTTTTATGCTCCTTACAGCTGCTGATTGTTACTGCAGTTAACTGTTTCCAGCTATTACTGCTGCTAAATACTTTTAACTTTTATTGCTGCAAACTGCTGCTAACTAGCATTACTGTGGTTAAATGCTTTTATTACTGCTAACTGTTACTGCTTCTGTTGCTAACATGTTACTGCTACAGTAAAATAACTGACTTGTAAAAATACAGTAATTTTCTATTAGTCATTTTTAGCTTTAAGCCATTTGTTTGTCATTTTAATGTTTGATTAAAGATATTTAAACTGTAAAACCAATGCAATGAGCTATAAATACAGGTGAACACTGCTACAATACAAATAATCGGGCTTACATTTACAGCAGTGCTGTTATTTGATTTTTATTATTTTTTTATAGAACTGTAATAAAAGTCATTATCTGTTAAATTAAAGTAATTATTGCTGTTTACACTGATAACAACTGTATTTAGACAGTTTACCAATGCTTATACACTGATAAACAACATTTATTCAACTTATACAACATATCTGTCAGTTAACTAACTAATACATTAAAATTACACAACTAATACTTTTTTTACTGTTAATGTCACTAATTTTACATAATTTTAATAACAGTATTAAACTTGAATTTAACAGTTTAATATATTTAATCAACAGTAAATATAAATTATATATTTGCAAATGTATTTTCAGTTTTTATGTGAAAAAATTATTTTACATGTAAATTCAAAGGATATTTACTTTATTAATATTTCCATATTTTTAAAAAATACAGAAAAATCTGCTAAATGAACACAGAAAACCCCATAAACCTAGATTACTTTTTTTTTTTTACAGTGAATGCTTTTACAACCGTATTATTACTGCCGCTAACTTCTTTAACTGCCTGTACTGTTATTAGCTCTATTTGTACCACTACTTTAATCAGTGCTGCTACGTTCATCATACTGCCAGTGGTGTCAGGATCAATCAGTTTGATCAGTTTCTGTGATTATTAGATCCTCAGCTGGAACAGAGTTATGAGGAAGAGGAGGAGGAGGAGTTCTCACCATCAGCATCATACGCTGAAACAGAGGAGCAGATGAGGAGGAGGAGGAGAGGAGATGAATGCTGGTGATGTCAGCACCACGTCGCTCCGCCCCCACAGTGACTCTCCTGTTGTCTCCGCCCACCAGAGAAATGTGGGCGTTAACCCAACGAAGCACCGCCTCCTGGTCTGACAGGCCGTAGTTACCATGGAGACCAGAGGAACCTGCAGACAGTTTAAAGTCACCAGTGAAATGTACACACTCCTACATTACTAACAGGGGACTATCAGCCTAAACTATCCAACGGGGGACTACTATTATAACTTAATGCAGCCTGTGTGCCTTTCACTGTATAAACTCTCAGTTCCCGAACCCTTTAATACAGTATGCTTTCTATATTCACCAATAAATGTACAACTTCATGTGCCACAGATTGTAAATATTATGGAAAAACAAATGACAGTTCAATGCAGGTAAGGAGTAAAAACAACATTGCTGGTGCCATATTAATAAAAAAAACAAAAACATCAATACAGATTATATTATATTTAGTCTAGATTATTACTTTCTCTTAAGAATTTTGCTTAGTTCTTTTTTATTCATCCGTGCTGGAGTGTGAATGTCGTTCTATGTGGGAACTTGTGTAATTATGTACCAGCCAACAGGGGACTCCTGTCATTCTATACAGTATAAGTGGGGACTTCTTTATTTACTGAGAATTAACAGACAATTATTGAGAAGAACAGCAAACTGAGCTTGTTTATTGAAGAACTGATTAACATCCAGTGCTTGTGAAAAGAGGTCAGTGAGTATTTTGGGACTGAGCCACTTTAAAGGGCTAGTCAAAGTCTGATGTCAAGTTTATTACTTAAAACTGAAAATACAGGATCTACTGTTGACCACTTTATTACTCACTTTTTCCTGGTCGTTTCTTATTTTTCTTAAAATAGTTATTACTCCCTTTTGGCAAAAATTGTAAAAGGTTCACCAGAGCGCATTACACATGATTTGAGGTTGATCTAAAAAGCCTGACCGAGAGGGGACACAAAAAAATACCCCCGTTGGTCTGTCAGTCCCCTGTTGGTTGGTGTGTAATGATGCTCAAGTTCCCTGTTAGATAGGTATGCTAGGGCACACACACACACACACACTCACCTGTGCTCAGGAATCCCAGTGCCGCTGTTCGATAGCTGGCTGTTACCACAACGATATTACCCACAGCAGCGAGGGCGGAGCCGTCTAACAGTCCTGGGTTCTGATTGGCCGAAGGGTTGAAGAAGAAAACCAGGACTGGGACACGCCCCCTCTGACACACACAAATAAACACCAAACCATTAATTAAAAATCCACCATTTCACACACACACTGCCACCCAGTGGCCAGTTGTTGTAAGTGCAGCTCAGGAAAATCTGTCCAGTCCTTCAACAGCAGGAGAACTTTAATAAATCTGCAGACTTTTAAATTGGACATCATGCATCTTTATATTATAATTTAAT